GCCATCCTTGAGCAGGAGAACTAGGCCCCCTCTCAAAGGGCTGGTGAGATGGCTCAGCAGGTAATGGAGCTTGTAGTCAAGTATGACAATCTGAGTTTGATTTCCCTTTAATCCACATGGAGACAACTGACTTCAACAAGCTGTGTTCTGTCCTCCACACCCACACAAATGTCCAGCCAAGCACTCAGGAGGCAGAGGCAGGAGGATGATGAATTCTAGGCCATTCTGGACTACATAGTGAGACCATAAACCAAACAAACTTCATAAAAATCAGCACAATTTATTAGGGAATGTTAGCATTACATGATGGAAATGTATTTGAAATGTTTCTCTCAGCTATTTCATTATATTTAATTTTTACAAAGTATGCCACCTTCCTTGGCTAAAAAAATCAAAACAAAACAATGACAATAAACCCTCCCAAAGCCCTCAAACAATGAAAAATCCAAAACAAAACAAACAAACAAAAAACCCCCAAACCAAACCAAACCAAACCAAACCAAACTGAACTGAACCAAATCAAAACAACAAAAATCCCCACTGTAAACAGAAAAATTCTGCTCATGAGAGTGTGAGAACACTTAAACCAAAGAAAATAAAGACAGTTTGGGCTAAAATATGTACTTAAAGATTTATTTTTCATTGTGTGTATGTATCTGTATGTGTGTGCGTGTGTGTGGGTGGGGGGGGTCTGTGCATGTGAGTGCTGATGCCCTTAGAGGCCAGAGGCTTCAGATCCCCCTGGAGCTAGAGTTACAAGTAGTTGTGAGCTGCCCAATGTGGGTGCTGGGAGCAGAGCTTGAGTTCTCCGCTAGAGCAAACATGTTCTTAACCACCGAGCCATTTCTTCAGCCCCACATTTTCCTATTTCTAAAGTGAATTTTATTTGCTTTATTACGATGCTTTCCTTGATGAAATCTTTGAAGAGTAAAAATGGCCACATATTCAGGGTCTTGGGTATGCTAGATAAGTGCTTTTCTACTGAATCACATTCTTAGCTACTATATATTCTGTGAATAGAAAATATGGTCTGTCATTTTAATAGGCATTTTATTTACCTAACATATTTTAAATTCAAGCTTCTGTCTGTTCTGATTTTTTGAAATACTACTCCTGTAGCAAGCAGATAGGCTATTTTTAACTCAGGGGCTGTAAATGCTTTTGTGACAAACATATATCACTTACCACAAAGAGCTAAATAGAGGTCTCATGGGATTTTGAGTGAGTTATGATTCCTCTTAATCTCACTGAAATCAAGGTGTTCTGTTTAGTGTTTTAAGTCTGCTTAGGATATGACTGATAGCTCTTTCCTAGCTGCAAGGTCATTTCTAAGGTCAGCCAGAGAAAAGGTTGCCTGTCAGGGAACTGTCTCTATCAGTGTAGGGGGAGCTATCTACAAGTGGCAGGGAAAAAATAGCTGACCTCAGTCAGGCCAGCCAGGGAACACTGCCAAACTTTTGATTCTGTGCTTTAAAACCTGTTTGTAAGAAACAAACTACTTTGAATTGCTTTACTGTTTTCCCACAGTTCTGCAAATGTACCATAGTATAGCTCACCCAATGTTGTATTGTAATCCTTTTCCTAATGCAATGTCTTACAGGGCATCACCTTTTTGCCTTCCTGCGTCTAGCACTGAGCCTTTGGGCTGCTGGCACGGGCTAGATATTCAATATGGCTCTTCATAGGACGTGAAACATCTGCAAGAGGGAAGCTGCTCATCCACTGTGAGGCAAAGATGGAAACAATAAGGCTTAAAATTTCACACCTAGTCTTTGGTTTAATAGGTGGTACCTTGGGGCTGGAGCAATGGCTCAGTGGTTAAGAACACTGGTTGTTCTTGCAGAAGACCTGGATTCGAATCTCAGCAAGCACACGGCAGCTAACAACTGTCCGTAACTCCAGTCCCAGGGGATCCGACAGCCTCTTCTGACCTCCGCAGGCCTTGCACAACACGGGTGCACTTACCTGCATGCAGGCAATATACGCATACACATAAAATAAAAATAATAATTTTTTTAAAAAGTTAAAAAAAAAGGTGGTACCATAAGCTTTATAGTAGTGTTTAAGCATGATCCCATGTCATTTCATCTGGTCCTTACTATAGAAGGTTTGCAAGAAAGTATTCTTTCCATTCTCTACATGAAAAAGTTGAGCTCTTGTCCGAGTAAATCATAGCACAAAGATCACAACTGCAGTCTTCTGATGTTTAACCTTTATCATGACATGAGCCAGCCTAGACAAATAATGTTGTATGTATGTCTGGAGTCCATCTTCCTAGCATGTCAACCTACTTATTTCATCCTCTTATCTACCTGCATCTCCTTAGCAAAAGATAAATGAAAAACACTGTCTCCCCAGATAGGCATGTTTGGTTAGTTGGGAGCATTGGTATTCTTGGGAGGATCTGAAGAAGGGCAAGAGGCAGTAAGGTAGGTCAGGAAGCACTGATGGCCATAGGTGTCAACTGGTGGGTTGTGCTTTTCACTTTCCCTTGTTTTTTAAACAGATGGAGCAGGTGTGAATCTGGGGGCGGGGTGTGGAGCCTGGTTTCTGACTATCCAATGGGAGCTCTCAGAGGTTCTCCTTGGCTGAAAGAACTTTTGTTGCTGTTGCAAGATGCTTAATAAATACATGGGTTTTAAAGAATTCTGTTCAGCACTTGTACATCCTTTTTAGTATATATTATTGGAGAAAGGGAATCTCTGAATTGTTTAAGTTGGCGTTTTGCTATAGCATTTATAAGGACCATGGCTTTCCCTTTTGTAGAGTCTGATATTGACCCTTTTGGATAATAGGTTATAATTATTTGCTGGACAAATGGGGTGCATAGAGGGAAATCAAATTCTACACATTATTTACTGACGCCTCAAAATCCTTCTCACTTCCAATAATGGATATTATGGGCTGTTTGTGTGGAGGCTGACTTCTAGGTATTGATTCTGTTTCTGAAAGAAGCTCTTGTTTTGTCTACACATCAGTGTTAATCATCTGGCTGGTGATTCATCAAACAGGTAACAGTGGAAAACTTTCATCTTATTCTATGTTTAACTCCTTGTATTTAAAACTGGTCTGATCTGGGGGCTGGAGAGATGGCTCAGCGGTTAAAAGCAATGACTGTTCTTGCAGAGGACCTGGGTTCAATTCCTAGCACCCACATGGCAGCTAACAACTGTCCATAACTCCAGGTCCAGGGGAATCCATCACCCTCTTCTGACCTCCACGGCATTGCACGACAGAGGTACACTCACATACATGCAGGCAATACACTTGTACACACAAAATAAAAATAAATAAAAATAGAATATTTAAACTGGTCTGATCTGGTCGGATGTGATGGAAAAGAGCAAGCAAGATCTGTTGTCTAAAGTTGTGTCTAAAACGTTGAAGGCGTCACTAGAGAACAGGATACAGCACACATTTAGAAACCTCCCACTTCCTTTAGACCATATCAATGTAGTTTGATATTTGCTTTTTTGTTTCTTTTTTTTCCACCTCATAAACATTTCAGAAATATATTGTTCAATAAGGAAAATTAACTGTCATTCTTTAGGAAGATGAGAAATACTTATTTAAAATATTTAAATGGTTCTAAAGAGTATTTAACAGTTTTCCAAGTTATTAAAAAGTTTTTTGGTCTTTCCCGAGTCTCCCTGTACCCCCAGCAGATCTGGAATTCACCATGTAGACCAGGCTGGCCAGGATCTCACAGAAATCTGCCTCTGTCTCCCAAGTACTGGGCTCAAAAAGCTGTTTATGGACAGTGCCTATCTGTGTCTAAATCCAGTTTGAGACTACAGTGAACACACAGCTACTCATTGGAACTGGCCTAGGAGCAAATCACTGGAATGTTCTGACTGGGAGTTAATTCATCTGCACTAAGTGGAATGGTATCTGTCCAGGGTTGTTCTCAGTTTCAAAAAAGTACCCTGGGCTCATGAAAAGGCGTTCAGCGACCCTTGAGCGACAAGAAAGGCATGTACCGATCCTGTTAGAAAAATAAGAAGCTGAGTCTTTACACGCGCGTGTGCGTGCGTGCGTGTGTGTATGTGTTGTCTTTTCTTTGTTTTGACAAAGACTTGCTATATAGCCTAACCGAAGCTCTAAGTCTCTGCAATCCTCCTGCCTCAGCCTCCTGAGTACTGGGATTGCAGGCGTGCACCACTACACCAGGTTAACGCTTGAGTCTTGCGGTTTAAGTCTTCACAACTTTTTGTTGGAAACAAGCGTCAAAGGGGAAATGAATGGTAACTTATAGTGTCATGTTATCCGATGGAAAACAGCTGCTTTTTTATCTTCATACCAAAGAAATTCTTACTGGCGAAGCTTTTTCCTGGATTCTCCGTTTAAAAAAAAATAGTTTTACACCAGGGAAATAGAATTTCCGAGGCAATTTAAGAATAAAGAACCAAAAAAGGGTGCAAACAAACTTATTAGCGTTCTCTCTGTGGTGTTTGTATTTGAAGCTGGGCTGGCATCGCTTCCTGGGATGAGCAAAAAGTAAATGTTTCACTAGGCGTCGTTCAACCGAGCGGCCCTTCCATTCCACTTTATTTTCGCCTTGCGGACGGAGAAAATCCTCAAAAGCTGGGCCGCGGTGGACAAGCTGAGCGCGCGTCGCCAGCGATCGCAGGTCCCTGCCGGGGTCCCAGCCCCGGGAGGGGACCGGGTGTCCTGGTCCCCGCCCCTCCGGGTTACTCAGGCCTCGGTCGCGCAGGGCGGAGCCCAGGTGGGGAGGGCGGCCCCAGGCGTCGGTGACACCGCGGGGGGTAGGGGGAGGCGGGGCGGCCGCACCCCGCCCTGGGAAGAAAACGGCCAGGTGTGGCTGGGGCGCCGGGTGCCAGCGGGGAGGAGACTCCCGGCCAGCCGACCAACACCAACACCCAGCCTCGACCTAGCTCCTCTGCGCCCTCGCCGCCCTCCGAGCCACAGCTCGGGTCCAGCTCTTGCGCCCATCGCCGTCGCGGTCCCCGCCATCCCCGCGGCTGGGGCCGTCCCGGCGCCCACCGACCCTCCCGCGGTCCCTCTCCTCCAGCCCCGCGCGTTCTCCGAGGCGGTGCCTCGCTTATGTCTGGGCGCTGAGCCGCTGTCCGAGTGTCCGGCGACATGAGCTGCAACGGCGGCTCCCACCCGCGGATCAACACGCTGGGCCGCATGACCCGCGCCGAGTCCGGCCCCGACCTGCGCTACGAGATGACCTGCGGCGGCGGGGGCGGCGGGGGCGGCGGGGGCGGCGGTGCCAGTAGGATGTACTACTCCCGGCGCTGCGCGGTCAACGACCAGAATTCGGACGGCTACTGGTGGGTACCCCCTCGACTCCCGGATCGTGGGATCCTGCGCCTCCCAGCCCACACTGGCCGCTGGGTGTGACCCGCCTCCTGGGCCGACCAGGAAACCCTGGGCCAGGCGCAGGAAAGTGTTTCGCCCGAGGTCACGGAAGCCTTTGCTGGCGGCGCTGCGAGGGGACCCGGGTCTCCAGACGCCCAGCGCGCGCCACGCAGACGCAGCTAGTGTGGGTGCGTGCGGGGACCCCGGCGCCCCTGTCCTGGGAGTCTGGACCGGGTCCCGCCGTCCTCATCTCGCTCCAGCCTGGGCGAGTGTCCACAGCGGACATCAGTTCACCCCCTTTCCACTCCAGTCCTCGAGGGGCCCTGGAGGGGCGCAGCGGGCGGGCGGCGACGCAGGACTTCTTGTCCCCTGGCTGTCCCCCGCCTGGGGGACCCGGCTGTGAGCGCCTTTGTTCCAGCCTGCAGGTGGGAGGTCAGGCGAAGTTGCGACCACAAAACCCAGCTTCGCAAATTAAGAAGGAAATAGGGGAAGGGGTGGGGTCCCATGGGCTCTCTTGTGGTCTCCGAGGGACTCAGGGATCCAAAGTCATGGTCGCCCCAAGACCGGGCTCGCGGCGGCGCCGCGGCTGTGCAGCCACCGGAGGGCGTGTGTGTGTTCTGGCTGCCCTTCCCTGTCCGCCTCCAACTCTCCTGTCCTGCAACTGGGGCTCCTCTGCCCCCGAGGCCGCTGGGCCCGGGGTGCGGTGTTCCACTCCCTCCTCTACAGCATGGCCTCTGAGTACCCGCGATCGCACCTGAGGCCGGGTGCCCCTTTTCAAAAAAGCATCCGGGGTGACTTTGTCCAGTGCGGAGCTCAGGACTCAGGGGCAGCCTTTGATCTGTACCGAATGGGCTGGAAGTTTGGGGTGGGAGGGCGACCCTGGCAGAGGACGCCTTGGCCAAGGAGCCATAGAGGGGCCCATGGCACTAGAGCTGGGTCTTCTTCCTGGGATCCTGGGGGAAATAGAGCGACGGGTCACGCGTGGGTGGGGGAAGGTAATGAACTTGCATTCCCCAGTCCTGAGAGCGCTCCCCGTAAGCCCACGTGAGCTGGGAGAGTTTTGCTGCCCGCCCCCTCCCAGCCCTTCCCACCTCGGGCCCCTGGGAGAGGGACTGGAGCCTAGGGACGTTATTATCTACCCCGCTCTGTGGCCGCGGGCAGAGGAGGTGCCACAGGAAGGGTTCCTGCTCTGGTACAGTTTTGTTTTGCAAGCAGTTTTGGAGACAGGGCCGGTTCTTCCAGTTGCAACCTGTTTTCTGCTTAGATTTATTTATTTCCCGAGCATCCCCACCTCGGGCCCCTGGGAGAGGGACTGGAGCCTAGGGACGTTATTATCTACCCCGCTCTGTGGCCGCGGGCAGAGGAGGTGCCACAGGAAGGGTTCCTGCTCTGGTACAGTTTTGTTTTGCAAGCAGTTTTGGAGACAGGGCCGGTTCTTCCAGTTGCAACCTGTTTTCTGCTTAGATTTATTTATTTCCCGAGCATCAGGATAACTTTTCTCCCCTTTTTTTGGAGTTCTTTGTTTTCT